TTCTCTAAAGAGGACATACAGATGGCCAACAGGCATATGAAAAAATGTTCAACCTCACTAATCATTAGAGAAATGCAAATAAAAACCGCAGTGAGATATCACCTCACTCTGGTCAGAATGGCTATCATCAATAAGTCAACAAACACGTGCTGGCGAGGTTGTGGAGAAAAGGGAACCCTAGTGTACTATTGGTGGGACTGCAGATTGGTGTAGCCATTATGGAAACCAGTATGGAGGTATCTAAAAAAACTGGAAATGGAACTACCGTATGACCCAGCAATTCCTCTCTTGGGTATCTATCCAGAGAAACCCAAGACACTAATTAAAAAAAATATATGCACCCCTATGTTTATTGCAGCACTATTTACAATAGCCAAGACTTGGAAAAACCGAAATGCCCATCGGTAGATGACTGCATTAAGAAACTGTGGTACATTTATACAATGGAGTATTACTCCACTAGAAAGAAAAATGAAATCGAACCATTTGCAACAATATGGATGGACCTGGAGAGTAGTATGTTAAGTGAAATAAGTCAGTTAGAGAAAGACAAATACCATATGATCTCATTTATATGTGGAATCTAAAAACCTGAATGAACGAGCAAAGTAAACAGAAATATTCTCAGAGCTATAGAGGTAAAACTGATGGTTGATAGTTGGGAGTGGGTGGGGATGAGGGAGAAGGGTAAGGGATTACACAGCATAAATAGGTAACTTCAGTATTGCCACAGGGATATGAAAGATAGTTCAGGGAATATAATTAATAATGTTGTAAATATTTCATATGGTGTCAGATGGTCACATGCCTTGTCATGGATGGGGTAGAGGCTTGACCTCTGCACTGTACACCTGAAGCTGACATTGTATAATATTGTATGTCAACTATATTTGAATACATAAATAGTCACGGGATATTGAAAAAAAATGTTCCAGAGAAGGGGACTTTAGCAGCTTATTTTTATACATTATAATCAAAGGAGGCGACATAAGGAGGTTTACATGAAATCCATTGATGATAAATAAGGGGGTGGGGGAAAGCAAAATGGAGGAATCTCTGGGAAGTGAATGAACAACTTCAGGACTCGTGGGACAGGTGATAAAATTTAGTACAGTGAGCACTGAGCTTTGAAAGTAACAGAAGAAATGAGTTATTTTCATGTTACGAATGGGGAGCCAAGA